TATTCGTTTTAAACGAATCCAAAATTCGAAGCTACCTAAGTACACGCTTGAAACGAGAAAGATCAAGTCAACTACTAATCTCGTGCTTATATATCCAGTCTTGAAAATCCAAAGTCTTTGCTTGAAAGTTACACGTGTTCGTGTATTCATAGTTGGACATTTTAGTTGTTTCCCTTCGCAAAACACGCGTTGTCGTCTCGTTCTCGAAGTCGTGGAACGTTGTCGAAGAGTCGGGTGACAAACAGATGACTGTTTGACCAACAGGGCGCATCGCCGCGGGCGAGGGAAGGTTCAACACTAATACCGGGGTGGTGATAAACACGGAGGTGAAGTCGATCCCGGTGACGAAGAAGGGCGTGTACTTCGCGTTCCGCGATCAAGGTGCTTGCATCTCCATCCTGGCCATCAAAGTTTACTACATCAGCTGTCCGGAGATTTCCGTGAACTTCGCGCACTTCCCGGCGACGCCGACGGGTCGCGAAGTGGCGCTCATCGAGCAAACGATCGGCACTTGCGTGGATAACGCGGTGGTGATCGAGCAGCCCACCTTCCTCTGCAAGGGAGACGGCAAGTGGTACCTGCCCAACGGTGGATGCCACTGCAAACCTGGCTATCAGGCCGACGTTGAGAAACAGGCGTGCACCGAGTGCGCGATCGGCAAATTCAAACACGAGGCTGGATCTCACAGTTGCGAAGTTTGTCCGGCTCATAGCAAGTCGTCCGATTATGGGTTCACGGAATGTCGGTGCAACGCCGGTTATTACAGGGCCGAGAAGGACCCGAAGAAAATGCCTTGCACACGTGAGTGTCGTTTTCGTATTCGTAACGTATTATAACTGTAATTATAGAGAAGTAACTAGAGGGAACAGAGGAGAACCGTGTTAAAATTATAGTTAAAATAGTTGACGAAAGGAAGACTGCTCCGAAACAGTAATATGCAAATTTCTACCTTCCAAGGTAGATTGATCATCCCCTTAAATTAAAACATGTTTAACGTTCACATTTAACTGTTTTGCGTGTTTATAGAGCCACCGTCGGCACCGCAGAATTTGACGGTGAACTTCGTCGATCAATCAACTGTGATTCTGTCCTGGAATGCGCCACACATGCTGGGTGGCAGGGCTGATACGACTTACAGGGTGGTCTGCGATGCTTGTAGCATGGGCGTCAAATACATTCCCAACACCGTAAGCATTTTCTCTCCCCTTCCCTTGTTCTTGGTTTTGTCTTTGCCCAAGCAATCATGAAATGAATCGACTCTGATCTCTGTCCAGCAGGAAGTTTTCAACGACACGAAGATCACGATAACGGGCCTTAACGCGGTGACCACGTATCGATTCCAAGTGTTTGCCGAGAACGGTGTATCGGCGTTGGCTGGAAAGTCCGAATACGTGGACATCACCGTCACCACAGAAGCTAGCGTGCCTAGTTTGGTGAGCAACGTCAGGATTACCAGCGTGAAGAGCTCGGAACTGAGCATCAGTTGGGACGCTCCGATAACCGAAGTTGGCGGAGACAGCGATCTGGTTGAAAGATACGAAGGTAACATTGCTTGATCTCTTTTATAAACGTAATTGAGAAAAAGATAATTAAATGCGAAATTGGAAAGAAAGATACAATACTTCTAAAGCTCGAGTTTGAATACAATGTATTGACATATTATATATGCATTTTAATTTTGTTCTATTAATTTTTAAATCTTTTCACTATTTTACATAATCGGCTATTACTTGATAGCTTCTTACATTCGTGTGAAATCTTTTTCCATCGAGCAATATTTCATGTATCGCAGTGTGTATGTTTGCGGATAAAAATACTCAAAAGATCAAATATTTTCTTCATCAGATATTTTATACATTTGTCCATACGTTTCTGTGCCTTCAAATTTCTACCTACAGCTAATTTTAAAATTGCGTGATTTCGTTTCAGTGAGATGTTACCCACGTTACGACGACGCTACCAATGCCACAGTTATTCAAACGTCCGAGTTGTCCGCGACATTCAAGGGTCTGAAGCCATCGACGGACTACGCGATACAAGTACGAGCGAAAACCACGCGAGGTTGGGGCGAGTACACGCCTGTAGTTTATAAAAAGACGCCTCATGCCATGGGACTAGGTGATTATTTGAATTCGTTTTGATCAATTATGTGTGAGTGTAATCGAAATGCATTGCCTTGATAGAGCATGTTCGTTGCTTTTCCTCAGATTACGTCGGTGAGGATGACAACATGCAAGTGAGGATCATAGCAGGAGCTATCGTAGCTGTGGTAGTTCTCCTGGTGATCATTATCATCATGACCGTATTGATTTTAAGAAGGTAAACGAATTGCTCTTAATATCGAATAGTGAATTTAAAAAGTATAAAGTAAATACGATTAAATGCCCGAGTATTTACTTCTATATTCTAGTGTCATTTGACTCTATTTATGTGATATGATTTCGATGCAGCAGGGCCTCGGACGAATGCAACAAGAAACAGCCGAGCGACTGCGACACACTGGAGTACAGAAACGGCGAAGGTACGTTTGTCCGACGCCGATTGGCTTCCATTTCTCTTTTCTTTATCAAATTCATTATCGCTACAACCCCCTGTCACTTTTATAGTTGTTTCACTACGCCCTCGTGTCTTGTGACTAATATTTTTGGATCACCAAACCCCCCGTTAGATCCAGCAAGTATCGACCCCAGCCCCCCCCCCCTCTTTAATGTATACAGTATACCCCATGATTATGTCTTGTCGCTAAACATCCAATACTTTTAGAAGTATACTTCTCTCTATCTCTCTCTGACGAAAGAAAGATTATTGAAAAGTGGTTTCGTGGTTTAAAGAAAAGGAAAAGAAAAAGAAAAGAAAAGAGTATGCGAAGAGAAAGTTATCGAAGTCCGAGAACGGTTTCAGGCCAGCAAGTTAAAAAGAAAAAGAAAGAAAGAATGAGAGACGATCGTTTTCGAGGAAAATTCATACCGATCTGGCCCGCAATCTATGTACCATTATTCTAACAAAATTCTTTCGATTCTTTCTTTTCATGTGCGATTCCCCTAATCTATCGAACCTGCCTCCATGAAAAATCCATGAAAAAATCCAATGAAACAATGTACACAATCGCCTGCTACTACAGGACTAGTTGTGACCTACAGTAAGTCTTCTCCAACACCTCAAGTTTTTTTTCTAGGAACTCTCGGTTTTGCGTAGTTACTTTTTGCACCCCCTTTGTACGCGCATCTCTTTCATGCGTTCCGAGGTTTTTCTTTTTTTTTTTTTTTTTTTTTTTTTACGCACGGGCACGCACGGTCTTCCTAGTCGCCTATCTCTGGTCGAATAGACACGAGCGCGACACACGAGCTTCCACGTATACGAAGTATCACACGAGAGACCTGCGTGTACGTGCTTTTTGTGCTTGCGTCATACAGTGTGCATCTACAGAGTTCTGCATGCGTTGTTAGTGTGTTATCGTTGGCACTGCACTTGTTTCATTTGCGGTATGTTGTTTTATATATTTCTCCTCTTCTTTTTACATCTTTTTTTTTTTTTTTTTTTTT